TGTACCATTGCACTCCAGTCTGGGAGACAGAGCGACATACTGTGTCAAAAATAATAATAATAATAAAAGAATGTGCTTATGCCAAGATAAAAAACCTATTTATAAATCGATATATATTATTTCAAAAACATATGATTTTAATTATTTTGAATGTCACCTTTCACTCTCAAAACTGTCTGGATTTGGATTGGGTGATAAGTCATGTGATCACCCAAGCTATTACATTTGAATTTATATGACCCACCAGATGTGATTTTGCCAAGTTTGTATGAATGATATTTCATTCCTGTGTAATACATCTGCAAATTAAAACAAACACTCAAAGTGGTAGGTAGTGCCTGACCCCTGCTATAGCTGCCAGTTTCCCATTGGTGTGATTAACCAAGACTGGTTTGATTTCTTAGCTTGCTTTTCTACTCATATATACCATTCTATATGAAGAACAAGCCTAAAAATTTCTAAAATAAGTATAGTACATTTCAAAGTCTTTGCAATTTACAGCAAGCCTTAAAAAAAGGCACCTGCTTGAACAGAAATATTTTTCAAATCTACCAAGGACATAACTATGCCGCATTATCCCTGCCATGTAGCAAAAACACATGAAAAAAAATTCATCTGTGATTGAAATCTAGTGATTTATTTCCATCAACAGAGTTTCCAAATTATTTTACTGAATAATTCTAAGCTCTTCTCCTTGCTTTGGATAATAATTAATCCACAACCATGATTAGTTATTCATTGTTTAATGAGTGACATATATATAGCACTATATATGTTTATGGCATCATTCTAATACAGCTTATCTATATTCTCTTTCCCAAAATATCAAGATATATATCAAAATGAAACACAAATTCAAAAAAAGAACCAACCAGAATGCCCATCAATAATAGACTGGACAAAGAAAATGTGGCATGGAATACTGTGCAGCCATAAAAACAATGAGTTTGTGTCCTTTGTAGGGACTTGGATGACTCTGGAAACCATCATTCTCAGCAAACTGACACAAGAACAGAAAACCAAACACGGCATGTTCTCACTCATAGGCAAGTGTTGAACAATGAGAACATGTGGACTTAGGGAGAGGAGCAGCATACACTGGGGGCAGTTGGGGGGGCTAGGGGAGGGACAGTGGGAGGTGGGAAGGGTGGGGAGGGATAACATGGGGGAAAATGCAGGATATAGTTTGTACCTATGCAACAACCCTGCATGACCTGCACATGTGCCCCAGAACCTAAAGTAAAATAAAAAATAAAAATAAAAAAAGAAATACAAAACAATTTCACCATAGTAACCAACAGTATTAACATACAAGCTTTAATGATAGAGAATGGACTGGTCCACAATATGTCAAAGTTTATCTTTGGCATTTCCCTGCTTCTCTTTCTCTTTTCCTCTCTTAGCTCCTGTGACTCCTCTGTCCAACTCCTAGGTATCCAGGGCCCTCATTCTGCCTTTTGGATACAATAGTGACCCCACTTCAGTGTTCTCAGCTCAGGTCTGCCTTATACTGAAAAATCCCGAGGACTAACTTACTTCTCTTTTCTCTCTTCCTGAGCTCAATCAAAATGTCCATAACTAGAGAAAAGCAAATTAAACTAAGCCACGCTGGACTGTGAATAATTGATTAATAGACTACTTAACCCTCCCTGGGATATTTTTCGTTTACAAGAGGACACTGTAATCTAAGTGACTCTTTAACAGGCAGAATTTCAAACAGTTCAAAAAAGTAAAGAGAAATATATAGGCTTCATTCAGGGAGATACATTTTGATAGAAGGGCCTTATAAGGGCTCCTTAAATTATCCATGTTGGCAGCTACATACTCAGCCTCCATTCCTAACTAGGAGAATAAAGCACTGACTGAAATGTCCTTTTCCAGTTTTATAAGTGAGCAGCAAAGTACTCTCAAAGGAAGTCATTTGACTTTGAAACAGACTTCAGAAGTCAAAGTATGGTTTATTACTCCTTTGGGTGAACTGAGAAATACAAATGCTTCTTTTAATTTGGAGCCAAATTCCTAAGAGTCATCCTTAAACACCAAATATCACTATGACAAAGGGCAAATCCTTTGTTGCCGAAGTGACCCTTTTTAGATTAGTTACATGTTTTTCAACTTTAAACTCAAGGATGGGAATGAGCACCTGAAATATATGATATAGCCCTATATATTACAAAGATGCAAATAAGAATATACTGGAAAAGAAACTTTACACCAAAGTTCTTCCTTTCATTTTATCCATCCTACCTTCTAGATATCTATTTCACACACACACACACACACACACACACTCCTTTGAAGATAGTAAAAAGCATTATTCCTCAAACAGTATTTGTGGATTATTCTTATTTGCATCTTTGTATTCTCTTAAAATGTAGCTATTATCTAAAATTTTGGAATAACATTCATAATTACAATGCAATCGTATAATTATTGTTAATAAAATAGGTTTGATGTGATTAGAACTATCTTTTTGCTTTGATTGACAGTTTTTTTTCTGCCTTTACACCAGGTATAAAATGCAAAGAGAAGGAACTACTTACTCTCTACCTTCAGTTTCACTGACACAAACTGAAGCTGATTCCCTGCTCTGGCTAATTGTGTATTTTGCCCTCCCCTATATCCAGGTGACATTGTAGACCTCTCTGGTCATGACAAAAGCACCTAGCATTTTACTCCATTGCAATAATTTTAAAAATCAACAACTTAGCCCTGGTTTTCCAGGTTGATATTAATGTCAACTACATTAATATCTCAGAGTTATGAGCATCTTTTTGAGGAAATGTCAGGCTATATTTAGCCCTTGGTGAACTTTCTCATTGCATTAAAATATTACATTTTGTCTTAATTTTCAAAATTCACATGATGGGTCTGGATAAAGGGTTACTACATAAGAAAGGCACTCTTATTTCTGGTATCTATTCTCCAAACAAAATTTTATTTTTTTTCTTTCAGCTCCACAAGTAAATTTTCAGCTAAGTAAATTTTCTACACCAGTCCCTTCTGCACTATTAGCTTAAGATCTATCATCTGAAAGAGGCTGTCATTTTCCCACTCAAAGGTATATCTTGAATAGGGTGTTCTAGAGTAATATAAAATATTAAACAAATGTATCTAACTCAGTCTTTTTTTAAAGACATGAACCCACAAGAATGGGAAGAACAGGACAGAAGACAATGGCAATGAAATTTTAAAAGCTGAGAAGCAGGTGGACAAGTAGTAATTGAAGTACTACACCCGAGAAAGCTCAATCTTAAGTGAGCAGTGGGAAAAGCCAAGAATTAACTAGTTACACAACAGATACCTCCAAATGCTCAGCAACTGAACGTGCCTATTTCTCTAAAACTGGGAATTAAAAAATGGGTAGGCAGATAGAAACCTAAAATAAGGCGCTTGAATAAAAGCTATCTGATAAGTAATTAGATACCTATATGTCTTCCCCTACCCCACTTTAGTTAAATTACTAGAATCTTCCCTGAACCTAAGCATCTTTATATTGAGCTAGAACAAACATAAAACAAAATTTTATGTTTTAAAACTGCAAGACCTTCCAAGAGGAAATACTGAAGTATAAATTTCCATCAAATACCAGTCAAATAATTTCACTCTAAATGATAATTTATGTTGATAGTTCCATATTAAAAATCGTGTTGGAATCCTGTAACTTCCTGCCCTTGAAAATATATAAGTAGTCATGCTGTATTGGAATCAGCTCTAGAAAATGATCTCTAACACCAGAATTATTTTCTCAGTATGTTCTGGAAGAACCACCCAGTCTGTATCACGCTAAGTATCTTACGTATATAGGGTAATTACTTTGAGATGGATAAGGTAATATCTTCATACTTAGTCATTTCAAAAAACAGACTAATAATATTTTTAGTATATTTTTAGAACTTCCATAACAGATTTTTTCATAACAAATGACAAATATCCATCAGGTATCCAGAATAGCCATTCTAAAATCACTATTCACCTCTGTTCCATCTCACTTAGAGACAGTTAAGATTAATTAACAGTTAAAATTAATTTCTCTGAATAATTTCTTTGACCCATCTCTTGGGTCTGTAATTAGCATTTGACCCAATGGGCAGACACTATGAAGAGTAAAAAAAATGTATAATGCTGACAATTCTGTATATGACCACTTTGGAATACGAATTGAATACCATTGAAACCTAGGATTTTTCTCATGCCACATTCAATCTTCCAATTCAGTCTTTAAAGAGATTAAATATGTCTGTGTTCAAGAGCACTCTAAAAATCTATATGTAAAAGTGATTTAGTAATGGTATTGATTTATAAAAATAAAGCAATAGTAGAGTATACTACTCTTTGAAAATACATAACTTTATTTTCTCTTTGTAAGAGACCTCTCAAACAAGTGTTGGTCTCTGTTGATAATAGTCATCACAGCTCAGTATTAACATTAAATGTATTTAATTTGGCAAAATCATTTAACTTTTAAAAGGAAAATTTTAAGTATCCCAAATTAGTAAACCAACTCACAAAGCTACATGGGGGTATAGCTTATAACTGAAGGTGCATGAGGATACAATGATACTTAAAATCAGACAGTGACCAAGGGGCCTGAATTGTTGTACCACAGAGAATGTGGTATATTAGTAATGTCTACCTTAAAATTTTTCATTCTGAAGTCATTTGCTTTTCTTCCTAGAAGGTACAGGAGAGCTATCTGAAAATATACTCATGGCTTGTAAGACAAAAAACATTGTCAACTATATATCTTATCCTCTCTAAGCAAATTAGATAGATAGATAGATAGATGATAGATAGATAGATAGATAGATAGATAGATGATAGATAGATAGATAGATAGATAGATAGATAGATAATAGATAGATAGACACACACACACACACACACACACACACACACACACATAATATTATCAAATCCTAAGAAAATTTCTTTGGATAAATTCCATGAGAACCTTGCAGAAAGTGTAGAAAGCCAATTGATAGTACATAGTTACTTACCGTTTTGCCTTAGTTCCAACAAAACTTCTAGAAACAAATTCACCAAAATCATAATAATCTCAGTTGCTTCATAGTATAGAAATCTTGTATTCTTTCTTTATTTTCTTTTTATCTTTAACTATCCAGCTTTACATTGCTTTAAATTGTTAAGACCAATTCCAAATAGATAAATAATATTTAAACAGATTCCTAAATCCTGCCAATCTGATTGCTTCTTCTTACATGCCTGTCTTCTCTGGACACCAAAAGAATTCTAGAATCAGAATTATTTCTTTGTGATGCATTAGGCAATTGGCTATTATCATCATCCTGCCTATGTCAGGGGGAGCTCTCTTTTCCAAACAATATAGGTACAGGCTAAGCTCCTTTGTGAAGAACACCAAATATGACAACAGAAAATAATAAAATGCCTCATAGGAGAAAGACTTTACTTTTAACATGTAAGATCTAAAAGAACCAACAAAAGTTAACTGAAGGATAAGCATTCCTTATTTTTCATCACTTCTTAAAATATTTAACATTATGTAACAGTATAAAACTATAGTTGTCCATGGATGATTAAAACTGCCATACTTATAGAACCAAGTATTAGATTCCATCAAAAGACTTGGTCATTCTCAATGTTGTATTCAAATGCAACACTGAATGCAAAACTAATAAATGTTGTACAGTATTGGACCTAGAAAACTGAAATAACTTTGCAGCCATCTCTGACTGGTTTAAATTTATAAAAGCCAGCATTACTTGGCTTGGTGGTAAATGAACTAAATACTGTGATTAGCATCTGATCTTAATACACACACCATGATAGCCTCAAAATTGACACTTTGTTATTGGTCACTCTTCTCTCTTGCATCACCACTATAGAGCAGTGATCCTCAATCAGGAATGATTTTATTCCCCAGAGGATGTTTGATAATGTTTAAAGACATTTGTGGTTGTCACAATGGGGATAGTCTAACCAGAATATAACAGGTAAAGACCAGGGATGATGCTAAACCCCTTACAATGCACGGGACAACCCCTGACAACAAAGAATTATCCAACCCAAAATAACAATACTGTGAAGATTGAGAAACCTTGCCACAAAAACTAACACTCAAAAGATCCCATTACTGTGCTATGCTTCATATTGTAATAAGGAAGGCAAAAGAACAAGGGCTAACAAATAACTTTTTCAATTATCAGTTTAACCCTGGAATATATTCTATATTTTGGCACTCTGAGTCCATATTCATTCATTAAGCTCTCGTTCAAATCACATACTTTCATTCAAGAATCTTCTTAGGCCATTCCAGTCAATTCTGAGAGATGCCTCTGAATAATTAAGTATCATTTTTAATAAAAGCCCTCAGGGTCATATGTCTATTTTGAACAAAGGCTCAAAGAGAAACTAAATAAAATACATTTTATCAGTCAGTAGTCCTTCAGTGTCTTCTATTTAAACCATCTAACTTTTACTCCCCAAATGAAATTGAATGTTCACTGGTAATTTTCCTGTTTCTATTACAGTTCTGACAATTCTCTGAAGTTTCAACCTGATCATAAAGAGAGATGCTCCAAAATGCAAATCAGGCATCCTCACTATACTAAAAACTATATAATGTCACAATAGAAATATCAAAAACCAAAGTTCTCTGATCAGATGCTTTCTATGAAATATGAAATAGCTAAACCAAATCTAAGCTATGCCTCAAATTTATATGCTTCCAAGCTATTCAAATATAAAACAAGCACTAACAAATGGGGAACCTTGTCCATTGCAAGGCTAATAAATCAAAATCACCAAGGTAAGTTAACTGCATTTTCAGTGGGCACAGATTTATCATCAGAGGCATGATAATCATGCAACCACTAGAAAAAGCAATGTGTTTTCCATGACCTTGGTCATAATTCACCAACAACACTGACTTGTAATGTTTCACTATATCACTCTGGGTACAGTCTAAAAAACTATTTTAGGACTTTGGGTCTTCTGAACATGCATGTGTTCATCTGGTGATTTTTTTGACACTACATTTAGTATGAAAACTATAAACACCTGATACCTAAAGAATAAGGCAGTGGATAAGAAAACTTAAGAAAAGCAGGACTTAAATGTCTTTAAAAGTTTCTGAAAATGCAAAGCTGACTGAAAACCTCAGTCCAAATACAGAAGCCTCCACATTTCACCTTTTCAGCAATGACTATAGCTCTTACATCTGACAATTTATTTTAGTTGAATTCCCTATACCAAACTGGTAATAAAGCAAGTAAGAATGTCATCAAGGTTGAAACAAAGTCAGAGAAGTTTCAAGCATTCTGTTCTGTAAGTAGTTTTATTTTCATTTCTACAAGTGGAGAAAGGCTTGACTGCCAAAAATGTTTCCAAGAAGGGGAAAGTGGTTAAGAGATGCTGATATCTTTCCAGGCTTTTCAGAGATTAATAGAAAGTATAGAAAACTACATAAGGAACACAAGATAGGGGAAATATGTTATTGCAAAGATGGACAAAAAGTCAAGATACACTTACCTAACTTGCACCTTGGCTCCCAAGTTTAGAATGAGAAAGAAGTGAAATTACATTTTTAAAATATTAAAATGGATATTTTTTAAATCCTGTGACAAAAGGCCAAGTACCCAGAGATAAAATTCTGAAAAGTTTGACTGTTTAAAGAATTTCATAAAACCAAAAGCCTGAATTAGAATCCTGATTGGGATCCTTTTTGGATATGTAAATTTGGGTTGGCTATATAATCACTCAGAGCCTCTGGTGTTTGTTCTTATCGTTGTTTATTTGTTTTATCTTTATTATTTGGTGGTTGTATTGGTTTTGGTTTTTAGTTGTGAAGTAGAGATCATAATGTATATAAAGAGCATGAAATATGTGTTATGCAAGAAAGTTGATACCATTCATTATTAACTCTCTCTGAAGTAGTTTGTGGGGGGTGTCTCTGTTAGAAGACAAAAGAGAGACAGTGAGCAAGAGCTCCACATTTATTGCTGACCAGGGGTTCTGAAGACAGTCCAGAAAGTGATCACCACAGAGCTTTTCTGACTGCTGGGCGGGATGAATCCACTGGAAAGCTCAAGATTCTCATAACAGGAGTAGCTAATATGCTAGACACAACAATCTAATTGAGGTGATTCTATCATTACCTATTTGGATTCTTATTCTACTACTGCATAAATCAAAGGTCAAATAAATTAGAGTTTTCCCAGGTTAGAGGCATCAAATGGAGGTGTAATAAAGTAAGCTTGAGAGCCAGCAGCAATGGTCATAGAGTGGGTTCTGTCCATAAGGGGTCCTAGATGCAATGAAACACTAGAATCATTCGCATAAAAGACCAAACTATCAAATATTCCCTTATTCTGATTCAAACATACATATTAATGGAGGAGAATACAAAATTCAGAAGATTAAAAGATAATTTGAAATAAATAGGAAAGACTGAATTACAAAATAAAGGGACAATAACCCTCCATTTGGGAAAGAAGAAATCCTACCACACACCACAACACAAAAAAAATAAATTCCAGAGGAAATAACTTTTATTGTTGTTGTTGTCATTGTTAGAGACAGAGTCTTGCTCTGATGCCCAGGCTCAAGTACAGTGGCACAATCATGCTCACTGCAACCTTAAACTGCTGGGTTCAAGCAATCCTCCCACTTCATCCTCCTGAGTAACTATGACTACAGGCACACATCATCACATCTGACTAATTTTTTAAATTTTTGTACAGATAAGTCTCTCTTTGTTGCCCAGGCTGGTCTCAAACTCCTGGGTTCAAGCAGTCTTCCTACCTGGGACTCCAAAAGTGCTGGCATTAAATGCATGAGCCACCATACCTGGCCCCAAAATAAAATTTTATGAATAAAATCCAATAGCTTATTTTAAAAATTAGAGTACTTTAATCTTGAGGCTGTTTTTTCTAAGCATGTATAAAGAGCCAAAAATCATACAGGAAACTATTAAAAGTCTTGACATGTAAAATTATAACTTCTGTTTCAAAAAATACAATATAAACAAAGTCAAAAGATATAAAAATTACCGAGAAAAACATTTGCAGCATATCTTTAATTAATATAGAGTACAGATTATCAACTTAAAAAGAGGAACACCGTTTTTAAAAAATCAAAAGACATACAGAGACAATTCATAAAAATAAATGCAAATGTCCAGTAATTAAAAGATGCTCCATCTCACTGATGATCAAAAGATAACAATTAAAACAACATCTAATACTTTTTACCAGTCTTTCCAAAATTATTATGATTGTTAATGTCCAATGCTGGGGAAGGTGGGACTCATTTCATTGCTGATGAGAGAGTACTTGGGTACAAGTTATCTGGAAAGGAATCTAACAATATACATCAAATTAAAAACATGGCCAGGATGGGCAGGGCAGCAACTCACGCCTGTAATCCCAGCACTTTGGGAGGCCGAGGTGGGCAGATCATGAGGTGAAGAGATTGAGACCATCCTGACCAACATGGTGAAACCCTGTCTCTACTAAAAATACAAAAATTAGCCGGGTGTGGTGGCACGTGCCTGTAATCCCAGCTACTCAAGAGGCTGAGGTGAAAGAATCGCTTGAACCCGGCAGGTGGAGGTTGCAGTGATCGGAGGCTGCGCCACTGCACTCCAGCCTGGCAACAAAGAAAGACGCTGTCTAAAAAAAAACATATATATATATATATATATATCGCCAGGCGTGGTGGCTCACACCTGTAATCTCAGCACTTTGGGAGGAGGTGGAGGCTGGCAGATCACAAGGTCAAGAGTTCGAGACCAGCCTGGCCAACATGGTGAAACCCCATCTCTACTAAAAATAGAAAAAAAATTAGCCGGCATGGTGGTGCAGGCCCATAATCCTAGCTACTCAGGAGGCTGAGGCAGGAGAATTACTTGAACTTGGGAGGCGGAGACTGCAGTGAGCTAAGATAACCCCACTGCACTCCAGCCTGAGCTACAGAGAAAGACTCCATCTCAAGAAAACAAAAGGCATATATATATTATATACATATCTGCCTTTTTTTTTTTTCAAACTAGCAATTCTACTGCTAGGGTTGTTTCCAAGAAACTAATCTAACAAGGATTCAGTACGTTGTGTAGAAAGGCATTAATGGAAAAATTAGTTAAAATGATGACATCTTTCAAACAACATAAATGTCCCTTGGTTTGTGAATCAAATTATGGTATTTCCATACTACAAAATGTTATTCATTTGTTTAGAAAAGTAAATTAATATTTA